CTCCCCCTCCTCTTCTTCTTCCTCCTCCTCCTCCGCCTCCTTCTCCTCCCGAGCACCCGTAGATGTAGGCCCGTGCCGGGCCCGCCTGAGAGTCCATGGCGGGCTCCAAAAACCCTGGAATCCGGCATCGCTCGGCAAGGCAGCTTTTGCTTCCGCCGGCTTCCGCCAGCTTTTCCGCCGGCGGAGCCGCCCCCGCTTCACTTCCGCCGCCCTCCCCTGAGGCAGAGACGCCAACTCCTGCCGCGATTCCCCGAAAACGAAGACCCCTCTCAAACTGGCCGTTCTAGAACTGGAGCGGCACTTTGTTCTGGCACCTTCGCTCTGCTCCCTGTCGCCTCGCTTCTGTGAAGGAAAAAGCTTTCTATGTGCCTACGCAGAGAAAGAGAGAACATGAGAGAGAGAGAGACACAGAGAGACAGAGAGAGAGCGGGGCAACACAGCAGCGGCAGGACGATACATACACGCATGCACACATGCATACATACATACATACATACATACATACATACATACATACATACATACATACATACATACATACATATGTACGTACGTACATACATGCATCCATCCATCCATCATGCATGCCCGCAGGATGAAGAGGAGCAATCCAAACTATAGAGGGAGAGAGAAAGAGAAAGAGAGAGAGAGAGCAAACTAGAGAGAGAGAGAGAGGGGGAGAGAGTGCGAACACGAGAGAGAGAGGGAGAGAAGGATGGATAGTGAGAGAGAGAGAGGGAGAGCGAGAGAGAGAGAGAGAGAAAGAGAGAGAGAAACCATGTTAGCTGTTAGACAAGGTGGGGGGATGAAGTGCCTGAACGATGGCCAAAGATTTTCGGGTTGGCTGCGAAGAATCTAACTTTATTTTCAGGCTGCCCTGGGACGGCTTGGCTGATCCACAGCGGACATATCAAAGGCCGCGAGGGCGTGGCCCCGCTATCCCAGCTCGCTCATTCTCTTGCGCCCTCTCGCTGGAGTGGTTGCATCCAGGGGGGTTTCAAATCCCGCAGACGGTAAGTGGGCCGCACCGACCACCCTTTGGGTGGTAAAGAGGTGGGTTGGGGTGGGGACATCATCCTTGATTAGCACTGGACGCATAAGTAAATTCACGAGTGGGCACACCTCGGGACATCAACATCGATGTTAACATATCTGTATCTGTGCCTACATATATATATATATGTATGTATCGCTGTCCGGGTATCTAGGCATTCACGCATCTCTCGTATCCCAATATCAAAGTACGTGCCGAGTCTGTCATGTTTTTACCAGGACAACTAGCAAGACGGCCAACGGGGCAACCATTCTGTCCGCTGACCCCTTGTGGGTTTCCAGGCGTGTGACATGCTCCCCCCCTCCCATAATCCCCCCCCCCGTGTCCAAACGTTTGACGCCCGCCCCCCGGGCCCCCAGACCCAAAAACGCTCGGAGGTGCTCTCATCGCGGCCAACGGTGACTCCCAGACGCTGCCCGTGAGCCGCAATATGCCGCACACCCCACAAATACATGAGGCCTTCAAGGATGCCCCCCTGGACTCATTCCGGCCCCCCGTACTGCTGTGAAGAAGGGGTTGGGATGGGAGTGGAGGGGAAGATCCTCTCACATAGTGCACCCTGATAAAATTCACACATTGCTGGCATCGTCCACGCTTTCTTCTAGATTCAAGTCCTCGTTGGAGAGCCAATGTCTGAGGGTCAGCACGAACACCACGGCATCTGACTATTCCCCCCCGTCGCACTGAGCGCGGCTACACCAGTGGCGCTGGCGGAGGCGAGCCAAACTGCGACTGGGGAGCAGCTTGCAACAGCTGGGCGTGTAGCGTGTAGAGGAGGCCAGGCAGAAGATGAGCACAGCTGTCATGCCGATGCTCCCTCGCACAGCCTTGGCAGTCACATCCTGAACACCCTCAATGCTGAATACCCTGCGCAAGATCGTTTGGATAATCGGCTGCGCAGTGCTGCCGTAAAGCCAAACATCTCCGCAAAACGATTTCGTTGTTTCGTTCAAGCCGGGTTGGCTGCCGATGCCGAGCGCGATGCAGCAGCGCGGAGAGCCCCCCGACGCCCAGCAGCAGGAACTGCGACAGCGCGGGCAAATCTCCGTGGGCGAACGCCGCGAACTCGCCGACCCCGAAACCACCTCGGCGCGCGTCTCGCACGGGAGGATGGCACACTGGACGGGGCAAGGAGGAGCAGCAGGACGAGGACGAAACGGCAAGCAGATCAGGGCGCGGAGGACAGCGGAGCAAGGCGAAGTGACACAACGGGAGCTCAGCCGTGGCGACAAGCACCCCCCCCGCAAAAAGCCAACTGCCGTTGTCGCAATTCGCCCTCCTCTGAGGACAGTTCCCACAATGTCCAGCTCAGGGCTTCGTAATGCCAAGTGGCGTTCCTTGGAATTTGGCTGGCCCTCTTGTTTCGCGCGAAGCCCAGCTTCGGAAACTTCCCACCACTTACACCAACGATGGAGGCACGCAAACACAAACAAACACTCACAATAC